TCCCTTGATTCAGTTTGCTTTTGCGCGCATTCTCTCTAAATATTGGCTTTACCATGAAGTTGAATTTTATCGCTTACGGCACTTTTTGCCGCAACCGGAGGCGCAATACCTGCGATCACATCATTCAATGCACCTCCGATTTCTTGAGCTTTTAAAAATCCTTCATGGAAGCTTTTCAGCGGCACATCATCTTTGAAAACCTAAAGTGCCTTTAACAATACTTCCTACTCTGAATTTTGTTCATATTTGTATATGAAGATCTGCTTTAGCTCGATTACCAGTTGTTCGTCCATCAGCTCGTCTGCGAACAAAGAGTTGCTCGGAGTGGTATGAGGTCAAAAAGGCGACCCTGGCGGAGGCGAAGTTGAAACTTCGACAAGAACAGGAAAAACTGCAATTGGAGGAACAACGAGGGTGAGCCTTTCCCTATTACCTTCGTTTTTGATTCATTGTGATAGAAGAGGAAAGTGCATGAAATTCTGGTAGTGCTCTTAAATCCTCTATTGTGACTTTATTGACCTTTTTTATCATGTTTTGTTTGCATGGCAGGCGACTTTACTTCGTTGCCGTCGTATCTGATTATCTTCATATTTATCTATTATTCTTTCTGAAATTTCGGAAGGCATAGAATAGAATGACAGATAAATATAAAGATGGATATGTCTCTGATGGAAGAGAATCAATACCCAAATATACCTCTATCCATGCTTCCAGGCGTGAAAATAAGGAGAATGCCTCACCACCCACCGTCGCAACCTCCTAGTTACTCTTATATAACATAGGCGTAATTAAAATTAGGTGATGACTGTTGTTTGTTGTTGTTTATCCGAAATCGTTGGTTCTGCTCGATGACAGAATTGTTACTTTTTTCTTTTAATAATAGTCTTCCTTTTGACTGGAAGCGCTCATGAACTCTTGCTGTGTTGATTGACCCAAATAATTGGCTTTCATTCATTTATTCTTCATTAGCCTTTTCTGTTGGCTGATCACCGATGTCTCACCCTAGTTGTGATTTTCGTTCCTCTCAGATCCGATGAAGAGCCTTCGATCCGTTTGTTTTTCACACTTCAGGGCTGCCTTTTACACAACCTTTTTTGATTCTTCTTTTTTTTGCTTTGTAAATTTTTCTATGTTGTGATTCTTTTTTGATTCTTGAAATGAAAATGTTTCAGTATGTGGACCTGTTTAGAACAAAAGGATTTAGTTAACATAATGCTTGTCTATAGGATCCGCAGATCTTGTCCAACTCAACAGACCCCTCTGGTTGGATATTCTGCAGAAATAGCCTGTATAGTAGTTCGCTCCTCATTTGCCAGTAATCCCATAAGCTTAGAGCACTTTTCTAGTGGAAATTATTTTTTGGGCATAGACAAAAGACTCGATGGCTTTGAACAGAAGAGCGTGGCGCATTCCCAGAAAAGATCAGAAGTGGTCATTTCATTACCAGTCCTCGAGTGGCTTGATCACTTGAACGTGAAATCTGATAATCCCGTGCTCTTCACGTTTCGACGTCACAGACGAGTTTCTCGTGGCTGAGTGATTCATTCCGAAAAACGCTGTGTGGCTGTTTCCTGGGAAGGCGTTCAAATATTTGCTCTGTTCTTTGGCTTTCTTGCTTACAAAGGTGACGAATCCAGAGGAGACGGTTGATGGTTCCCGTGAATGACAAGTGAATGGCATCGAGATGGATTTCGATTCCATTTCCGTACACCGATTCCCACCATTCTGTAGCGTAAAGTCTGGGAAACGGGCTGGTTTCTCCTCATTTGCATGTCTGCACTATTGGCGTTCAACAGTAAAAGCTGGAGGTTCCACTTCCGACAGTTCTTTGGGAATCGCCATGCACGACTTGTCTTCATAGCTGGGGAGCGGAAGGTTTTTACGCTGAGCC